AACTGGTAGCATTAAAAAGATAACCGATTTCCTTAATTCTTTTGGTAATACATAGGAATTATTTTATTCAGCATATATATTGACATATAGATTTTTGACATAAATTGTTCCATAAAATATGAAGTTTTTTTAGTTTATTTCAAATTGATTGATTAATCTTTTGAATTTAATAAACAATGCAGTGAGGATTTTATTATTAGGATACCTTAAAGAACAATTTAACATTCTAGTCTTGGCTAAAAATAAAATCAACAAAATTTGGATTCAGATGTATTATACTTGAATTTGAACATCCAGAATTATTTAAAAATAATTAATACAAACCTTGTTTTTAGATATGTCTTGCAGATCAAGAATAGCTGTATTAAATGAAAAATTGACTACCTTAGAAAGAAGAATAGAATATCTCGAAGCATGTGTAAGTTGTTGCTAATTTGTCTTAATATAATCTATGCGTACTTATAATCTGTATTATTGCCATTTTCACACAGGTCACAAAAGGAGAAACACTAACTTAAATTAAATATTAACAAAACTACTACTTTTAGTAAGATTTTTGTATTTATTGGGCTATATATAAATAAATGTACATTGAGACATGCGACAATGACATTTATTATACTTCAATGTAGATTCTACGTATTACGCTGTTTTTAATAACGTCTGTAATGATGTGTAGCTATCCTTTTATGTCCCACATACGGTGTATCATCCCATTTCATTTCACGGAACATATAGCCTATGAAATTCTTCTCAAGTCCAGCAGCGAACAATCCACCCATAACTAGTGTAGGGAAGGATGCCCACCTGCGTGCGAGAGGCACAACAACAGCCGCTGTAAGAACATATAAGGATATTTTCTACAATATGAACATAACTGGTGTTATAGGTAATAATGAATGTGCTAGAAATATTTACACACCTGCTACATATAAATTGAGTGCATCATCCCTGCCTCTATAATCTTTAGCTGTGTGTTTTATAGCTATGTACATCGCAACTAGGGCAGGCAGTGGAATCGCATAATATAATGTACGACCTATTGCATGTCGAATTGTTTTACACTGGGTTAAATGCGTTACATCATAGTATGCATATATTAACGACCATCCGGCAGCAAAAATAGTAGGATATTTCATAGCATCCCATGCATTGTCCGGGAAGTGTTTAGCCTTATATTCTGACATGATTCAAGGTCCTATAACAAACTATTTTACTTTGATTGCCACTGTTTCCTCAGCTGATCTTGTTTGACATTACATAACAAACATCAATTTTATCACAGGTTAATAATTCGGTTATTCTTTTCCAAATCTATACAATAACATGAACAATCTTATATTTGTTTAAAATATATTCTAATAAATGTATTGAAAATAATTTGTAATAATATATACTTACGCAATATGCAGGATTACCAGAAACTGGAGAAACATACGTGCATTAATAAACAGTACGGTTTATTGTCTCTAGTAATGTAACCTTTTTAACCTTTCTATCCTGTGGTACTGAGAATTATTGATCTTCAGAGTTATGTATTTAGAAAGAAAAAGAGCGATAATAAAGGCAGACCGAAAACGAGCAGAAATACACTCTCTGCAGAAATGCAAGTTTCTTTATTTTCGGTCAAGATGGCAATACTGTTGCAGCAGCAATTCGATAAATTAATGATGACTATATATATATATATATATATATACAGGGTGTCCCATAACAAAAATTCAGAATTTTTTGTTATAACTTCTTATTAAAGCTTTATATGACCTATGTTTACATAACATTTTTTTCTTACTTTGTGCCATAGAATATAATGACAAAGTTTGAACATTAAAACCTGGGACACCCTGTATACAATGTAATTGAGTAGTTCTAGAAGCAACAAATTTCAATATCCTTTATTTTGAATACAATTTATTCTATACATCTTATATTACTTATTACGTTATTATAAATAACATTACTAATTTAATTTATTGCTTAAAAGGTATCTTGTTAGAAGGTGCTGGCAATCTATATGGTGCTATTTCAACTTCTGCTTCTCCAAAGCTATCTACATGATAACAAAAATATTCTGGATTTTTGTAGTCCTTGTTTTTGGCAGCACCAGGACCTACCGCTGTAAAATTAAAAGTTTATTAACTTTCAAACAAATTAAGACTTCGTTAAAATATAAAAGAGGATTATATAAAAAATGTAAACATATTGATAACTTACGTTGGCTTGGAACCTTAACACAATTGTCACTGAGACCTTTGACATTTCCAATTGTTGCGGATTTTTTACTTGGTTTCGGTGGCTTTGCTTTCGCAGACAAAGTTCGCAACAACAAGTTTGGTTTCTAAAATTGTTACTTTGTTATTTTATTAACAACAAAAGGTTAGGACGGAGAAAAAGTAACCAGAAAATCTGTTCGTTACAATATAAATAATTTTTGTACATACCTGTGACGAAATTATGTTTGCAATAGGGCGTAACATTTTTCCTACAAAAATGACAGTAATTTTCAATTTAATGTTAATATGTGTAACTACAATATGTGTTGTTCTCAATATTTATATAATGACAGTATATCTAATGTGAACACTAAGGTTTGTCCAAGTTCGCCAGAGTTACCGTCAGTAGGGGAAATCTGGTGAAAATACTGTCACGTAGCATTCGCGTGTAGCTATCTCACCATATTAACTAATATTAATGAAACATAGCTCAAAAAATAGCTCTTTAATTGCCCATATTTGCTCACCAATTACAGTAAATCCTCCGTAGAATGCATATAATGACAATTACATTAACAATCTTAAGAGTGACTTGTCCGAGCGTAAAAAACTCTATACAAACGGCTGCACGCAACATTAACACCGCGATGGCTCCTGACACTCGTTACGATCATTTCGGATCGACGATAAATATGGAAAATAAATATCTTGAAAACAGTTTTTAATTTAATTGTCAAAATTTTATTGAAGTATAGAAAAACATGATTTTCGCGGACATTTACACTTGCTTGGTTGTATATGACCCAATATCCACGTGAAAATGGATTACCTAATATTTATGCTTCGAAAGTTTTTCTTAATCTCGAGTTGTGTTAGTTAATTCTGTTTAAACGTTAGATAGTAAAACAGACAAGAGAGTATTAGAAAGTTCCATTAGGAAAAGAAATTTTCATAATCATTCGAAACAATAAATTTATCAGTAGAATATTTATTAGTTAGGGTGTATTTTTCAATAATTCGCGTTTTCCGTTTGAATTCAATTGCCATTACATTTCTTCCTCGAGTAATTAAATTTCTGCACCTTCGTCGAAATAGATACATTTCGAAGAATGATTTGAAACTAATAATTCCTGTTTAGCTAGGATTTTTAGATATTCTTTATTTTCAGGTTAATACTACGAATGTAAGACAAAAATTATGCTGTATATTATCATGTATATTATTATGTATATGTATTGTTAATTGGTCACTGTACTCGCTGCGATAGTAACAGTAGTTCTTGTAATAATAGTAGTAGTATTTGGGCAGGCTTTGCCGCCCCAACGATCAGCGCAGATGGGCACATCCGCGACTTGCAATAGCGTTGCGAAATAATCTCGCGTTGTTTCACTTCATTTTCAACAGAGATCAAAATTAGCGCAGCGAACAAAATCATCGCGATTATCATTAGCATTGAAATTAATTGTTTAAAGTATAGCGTCACGAATTAAACGATCGCGATATCATTTTATTTGACATGCACGATAGCTTTAAAGATAGTGTTGCGAATAAATACGACTGCGTTTTGAGTTGGAAAATTTGGAAGATTTTTGAAGTCCACTTGTTTTTGGATCTCTAAAGCAGCAATCTCCTCGCGGCGAGACCTGGGCAATCGGTATCATCCTCGGTTCAGAAAATGTTGCGAATTGCTATGTGTTTTGAGTCGAGGATGAGATACCGAGCTAATAGCTGCAAATTTTGAATTCTTTTCTGTATTGATATTTTCTAATCATGAATGACGTTATTATGGTATTGTTTATTGATTATTAATTTATAGGAATATAATTGTCTTTCCTGTGTTTCTTCTTTAAACTATCGCACATTTGGTGAGAGCAATTTTATGAGTACTTATGCCAATTGATATTGTGTAGCCATGAACGATATGTTCTCCTAGTTCCTTATACATATATTTTTTTATTCAAATTTCATTGTGTTCGACGAAATTGTCGCGTGTGAAAATTTCAGCAATTGGTCAGGTGAAATGAGTAATTCTTTGCTAGATCATGCAGCACGTTTTATGTATTATTCCAGAAATTTTGTCTTGTTAAAAGTCTCCAGCCTCTCGTGAAAGTCCCTAGCAATTGCAGATCAACAATGGACAATGAAAGAGCAATTGTTTAAGCCAACGTACATTGAATTAGAGCAATTTTGTGAGTATTTATGCTAATTGATATTTGGCAACCGTGAACGGCACGTGCTCTTAGTTCCTTGTATATTTGTTTATTGAAAACTCATCGTTTATCGATGAAATCGATGGCCGTGGAAGTTTGAACAATTGGTTAGTCGAAAAAAGCAGTTCTTTAGTAGGTGTAATACAGAGTACGTTGTGTGCATTGTTTCAGAATTTTCGTATTTTTAAAAGTCCCCAGTTTCTCATCCATTTTTTGGATGTATTTCTCGAGGAGGATAAGGGAGCAATTAAAACTAATTGGCTAGCAATTATGGGCAATTAAAGAGCAATATTTTGTGCTATGTTTCGGTAATACATATTGGTTAATATGGAGAGCCAGCTTCGCATGGGTCCGCATTGGGATTTGGTGACGTAACACAATAACCTACAATATTATGGATCAGCAGCACGATGATCAGTGGGCATCTATATGAAATGACATCGTGTCCGTGACGCTGTATCCACCAAAATATACATAGGTACAATGATACTGTACATAGGAACGTAGAGTTCTATGTAACGTCGCTTTGTCCCTATATGTAGTAGCGGATTCTTCCGACAATGTAGCGTCGGCGCTACTGTGCAATGTGCAGTGCAATGCAACTAACTAACATACAACGAACAAATCTATGAAAACAAATTCCGCATAAATTAGAATTACTACGAGGAATAAATTTGAAACATGTTTTAATAATTGAATATTTATGCATCCTTTCTGTGTTCGATCGTATCTCGGCACGATCGACGCCGGTACCATTATAAAAGCACGCGTCACGTTTTCATGGGAGCAGACTAGCATGAACGTTAACCAGCGTGTGTTAGGTTATGCGGTAACGTTATCTGGTTCTGACGTTTCTTTTACGTGTCAATTATTTAATCTTCCGATTTTGTATATATCGGTTTCTGATTTCGTTGCGTGCACGTGCAAGTACATTGTCCATAAACTTCCACATTAAACGGCACCATCTACGTTTCACGTGCGAATCGAGATATATTCATAGTTATCGTTCTACTACGAGGAGAGATTAGACAGTTGGACTGCTAGAATATATTTGCATACGTAAATATGACGTCTACCTTACAAAAAAACGTTCTGTCGCTGTTCAAACGAGATTTTCTATGGAAAACTGTTAATTCCGCTCATGTTAGAGATTATAATACTTCGCGCCTATTTCATCAAGTCGCAACAGAGTTTCCGTACGGCAAGAGAAACTTATTTCTCTCGGAATATTTCAAGTAAGTATTCCTCTGACAAACTTATATGAATTATGTATGCACGTACTGTTTAACGGGTGAAAGGAAATCGCGAAAGTAGTCGCCTATTTAGCGTTGACGTCTCTCGACTGGCGATGTTTTATTGTCTACGTACGGTAATGTCTCCCTCATACCGACGCTCGGATTGTCCACTAAAATGGACAATTTGGGAAGAGGAGATACGATTATCCGAGCCTAGCGGCTCCATTTTTATAATTGTGGACAATTTATAACTATAAAAATAAACCGCAGGGCTATCGAATAATCGTATCTCCTCTTCCCAAATTGTACATTGTTGTGGTCAATCTGGGCGTCAATTAGGGAGACATTACTGTATTCTTATCGAAAGATTTATCGTCAAAATGTAGCACTTACGTTACAAACGGTGCCGACTTTCTGCATTCATATTCTCGAATCGACAAGCATTTTGATGAAGTCGTGTTTGCTCACGTCAGGCTTGCAATGTATTATTGTCTGTGTTCCACGATGCGTTACAACTACGGTAATAGATTTGCTTATTTCCGAGCCAAGTAATTCTTCCACAGCCTGCGTCAAATTACATTCTTATTGTAGTACAATTTAAAATGATCAATTAATAATCGTCGAATATTCGAAGCAGAAATTGTTCAATTAATCTATGTTTTCATTGAGCGAGAAATCGCGATGCAAATAACTAAAGTCATTTAAAAACTGTAATTGACGTGAAAATAGACATTGGACAACATGTGTAATTATTCTAATTAATATGGCAACGTGTTGAGTTTTATCGCTTCGCTTCCATGTTTTTCGTCTCGTCATCTGACAGTACACGCATCCTTGACGATGCACGTTGATCTGTAATCCGACTGATTTTCTAAGGTCATTCAAGAGCGATCATGATCGTTCAAAAATGCTTATCGCTGAATACATATTCTCGAATTTTTTTTCGTAAAAACTGCATTTAAAACAGCGACCCCGGGTCTCTCCGTTCCATAAATATTCTCAGATTTAAAATGCTTGGGTAGTTTTTCACAGAATTTGATAAAAAAAGTAGAGTTGTCAGAGAATGTAGCGATTCTGAGTATCATACCGGTTCTAAGCTCTCTCGAGATCCTTCTGATCTTTTTAATTCAGATCTCTCGTTAGAATCATCTCCTTCGGATCTCCCTTCGGATTCTTTTTGTTCGGGGCTGCTCGCCGACGGGTTATATTCAAGCATTGACACCGATCGTAGTTACAATGTATGTAATAGGAAACGTGCTGTTAAAAAGCCGATCTAACCTATGGAACCGTTTCTCTGTGTCCGGTATTATTATTTACATAACAATTGACTGATCTCTCCATGATACGCTTCGTCGAGCATGGCCATAGATTCCCAGTTTTTCAAATGTTATTTTAAGATATAATTCACACACGCTTCGGAAACAGAGATACCTTTACATATGTACTAACGTATACATATAGGAATATTTTTATATATTCTTATTGTTACATATTTAGTCTACTCGTTTGAAGTTTACTAACGGGATAGATGAATATTGGAGCTTCCTTTTCCTCGCATCAATTGTTTCAAGAAAGCTTTATTGTACATACAGACTTAGTATAGAAATTACAGATTTGATAAGAGCGGCAATTACCATTCTATGTAAAAGTGTGTGTGTGTGTGTGTGTGTGTGTGTGTGTGTGTGTGTGTGTGTGTGTGTGTGTGTAAAAAATTATGAATAAAAATCTTTAGATTACGAGTGTCATAAATCGTAGAGTTTATTCATCCCGTTTATTATCACGGTCGATTATGTCGGTATATATTTCTTATTTGAAATAATTCGGTTAAGATAAGCGTGTAATGTTGCTGATAATTCTTGTGCAAGTCGTGCTTTCTTTTCTTTTAATCTTCTGTCAAGGTCGTTCTCGATATTATGACAAAACTTAAACGACAGATTTTACAATCTGCTTTTGCAGCATCTTCATTGTTATACCAGTACATAAATATGTAAAGCGTGAGATAAGACTATCAGATGTAAGTTCACCCTGTATAGTTTCGTTATATAATGTTAATTTATTATGTAAATACAATTCGGCACACAAGATTTATGACTTCGAATTTGCATCTTTTATTTGCGTACTTAACAATTAATTCGCGTTCTTACAAGGAAACGTATTTTTTCAGATTAACATGTGCAGATGTGCAAAAGCTGAACTATGCCTCACACTCTACGTTCACCAGTAAAGATGAAAGTCGTGAAATGATGGCTATATGGCCGGATATTGTTCGCAGTCTTACAGATGTTGACCGTAATCATGATATGCTAGATGTTTCCAAAAGGATGGCAAAGGTGCTGTTATTATAAATCAAAAACAGTAAAATAATATTGTCCATTAACGATGAAATGATGATTATTGAAAATAATAAATAATGGTTTTAAGAAAATGTTTACTTCAAGAAATATTTCGAAAACATGTCAAAGTAGTGTTAGTATCGCTTTCACATTATCTTAAAAGTGGGACCATAGTAATTCGAGCAAAAGAAATTTTATAATAATAAATAAATCAAACAAAATTCTGATTTGATTGTAATAAAATTCACATAGCAAACAATAACGTCATTAAATGTTAACTAGATATTTTTCTTTAATTTCCAGGCTTTACAATATACTGTACCTACAGGAAAAAAGAACAGGGCATTGGCACTTGTACTCGCGTACAAAACTCTAACTCCAGAAAATCAATTAACCGAAGAAAACATACGTTTAGCACGAATTCTAGGCTGGTGCATAGAAATGGCATGTTCTTTGTAATATTTTTTAATTGAATTTATCTTCGTATCGTATAGCATAATATTATGTAAATAATTATAAAATTCTTGATTACAGTTACAGTCTTTCTTTACAATAGTTGATGATATTCAAGATCACTCGCTAACACGACGTAATCAACCATGTTGGTATTTACACAATAATAATGGACTTGCAGCTATTAATGATGCTATATTAATCAAAATGTATATATACAAGCTTTTAGGGATACACTTCAAAACGAAAGAGTGTTATGCAAATCTTCAGAACTTATTTTTAGATGTAAGTAACCAGTTCTTGTATGATTGTCAAAACCAATTCATTGAATGATTAAATGTATTCATTGCAGTCTACGTTAAAAACCGTAACAGGTCAGTCTCTAGATATGATGGCAATGGATGGTGGATTTGAAAGGAAATTCAATTTAGATCTTTATACAATGGACCGATATAACGCGATTGTAAAGTACAAAACAGCTTACTATACATGTGTACTGCCAGTCACAGCTGCTATGTATTTTGTAAGTTCACAAAATCCATCTTTGCTTAATTAATACGAATTGTTTTATTTACGCACAGTTCATAATACTTCAGGCTGGTATAAAAGATCCAGAAATGTATAGACAAGCGAAAACTATTTTATTAGAAATGGGTCACATGTTCCAAGTGCAGGATGACTATTTAGATTGTTTCGGTGACACAAGTCGTACTGGTAAAGAGAGTACGGATATATCACAAGGAAAGTGTACATGGCTCGTGGTTGTAGCTTTGCAACGTGTAACGCCGAAACAACGAAAGATTTTAGATGTAAGTATACGATTAATAAAATCTGTTCATCAGGCTCTAGTCTAAACTCTATAAAGAATAATAATTATTAATGATACGCAGGAGTGTTACGGACAAGTGGAGCAAGAGAAAGTGAATCGCGTTGTACAGCTTTACAATGAACTCGGTTTACCAAACACTTATACTATTTACGAAGAAGAAACGTACAATTTATTAAATACACACATACAACAAATATCACGTGGACTTCCGCACAAACTATTTTTGAAGTTACTCTCAATGACGTATCGTAGGGACAGTTAAAAAGTGTAATTTAATATATTAATTAGGAAGAATAATCTAATTTATTCTGAAACCAGGAAAAATATGCATACAAGTTACAAATTTATTGATCAGTTATAGTCTATTTTTTTAAGAAGAACTAATTGAGTAGCATTAAATTATTACAAAGGTGACAATTATTATTAACTATTCGATTTGCAATGGCAAATAACGAAGTAATGAATTCCGTATTCGGAATTAATATTTTATGCAGTATACATACATATATATATATATATACATATTTTTTCAGAATATTTTATTTTTCCTCCATGGAAAGCATTTGTACGAATTTAATATTCATGTTAAGGTTTCTAAAAGGTTTAATCAAGTTAAATAAATTTCTTAATTTCATTATCTAGGTTCTTCTTTTATGTCCCACGGTTTGCTTCATCACCTTCCTTTTAAATCCAAATGGTTGACGTTTTTTCACATTATGACGAATTTTCGTGCGCACAATTTGTTTCAATTCTCGTCTAAGGCTCTTGAACTCTTCGTCCGGCATAGATTCTTTACAAAAGAACGACACTGCCTCTGTAATTTTATAAATATTAATATGTGCAAAGCCATTATCTCTTTATTGTTACTTACAATTTACATACCATTAAAACGTATATCATTATCATCGAAGAAAAATTTATTCGTTGCTTTAGATACATGTGGCTGTGGCACCTCTTTCTTCAGTTCAATTTCTTTATTGTCATTCTCATCGTCGGATGAATCATATTTAAATGGATTTTTCGTATCAAAATTAAATTGAAATTTTTTACTTTTAGAGTCTATAGTCTTTGCACTATATACTTGCTCCTCTTAAAATATACAAAAGTATTAGAAAAATATAAACTAATAAGCAGGCACTGCAAATTGTAAGCTACGCCATGAAGAAAACCAACCTTTTTCATGAACTTCTTCTTTTCCAAATGTTTTTAATAAACTAAATTGACCTCCATCTTTCAAGCTTTTTGTCAACGAGTCTGATACAGAGAAGTAAATATCTTTTGATACTTCTGCAGATGCAGTTTCCACAGTATTTTCTGTAATATCCTTGTTTTTCTTCCTCTTCTTAATTCTCTTCGTATCTGCTTCAGATGTTTGCGGAACAATTTCATACTCTTTATGATTGCTTTCTGTAGGATCATATCTAATCATCTGTTTCCTAAAAAGTTAAAGTATGTAAGACTCTAATACAAATATTTTACAAGATACCTTTTATATCGTTTGTTCCTTATGCCTTTACTTTGCGATCTTTGGATCTTTATTCGCTTCTTTGCTTTTGAAAGTCTTCTGAATTGGTACACCTAAAATATTTTCTAGAATATTTAGCTGCATTTTCTTTTCTTTCTGCAGGTCAGTTTCATCGTTGTTTGCCGTTGCACTATCTTTTTCCAATGCATCATAATCATCCATGAAATGTTCATTTATCTTAAATCGTTCATCATTTCCTAAAGTAATATTACGACTCTGAAATTAAAATATTTAATTCATAATAATTAGTATCGTTGAACAGCTTGTAAGTAATTTCACTACCTTTTTGTCAGATCGAAAATTGTCCAATTCCCAAACTGGTTCATTATTATCTTCATCATCGTCGATAGTATCATCAAACAAATTATGTTTCCCCTTCACTGCTTTCTTCTTAATTTTAGGTTTCAATATTTCATCAGTATTTTCATCAAATATTATTTTATTTTTGTTCAATTTGTTATCCTGCAAGAATATATGAGAATTGTTTAATTACACGCGAATGGAAAAATTAATGATTATAATGTATGAATTTTAATATTTACCAAGTTCTTCAGTGCACATTGCACTGCAAGTTCTTTAGCTTTAAATAATTCCTTCTTTCGTTTCAATGACTCCAGTCGCTTCTTTTCAGATTCATCAATTTTATTCATTTTTACATCTACTTCGTTTTCATAATTCAGTATGACCATGGTGATTGTTTATTTGACATAATTCTAGGTTATGTCGACTCATACGAATGGTGGACTTACTCGTTCTGAACTCGTTGCACAAACTGGAGGGGGAACTTATAGAAAGATGTACGCACAGATGTATGCATAAGATCATTTGATGCAATTGGTTAAAAATAAGATTTTCGGACTTTGCGTATGAAATAATATTGATTAAATTGAAAGCAATTATT